GTTAATATTTCAATAAACTGGTTAAATATTTTTTCCTTTGTTAATTCTTATTATACTTTGAAATAAGAAGTATAATACTTTGAATTCTTATTATGCTTTAAAATATACGCATGGCTAAATATTTTAATAAACATTTCCCCTGATGGTGTGGTGTAGCATACGTTTGAAAGGCAAATGCAGGAAGATGTGGCAGTTCTTGGAACTGTTTCTGTTTCTGTTTTGTGCTAGTCAATTGAACTTAATGATTAAACCTATTGTAAATTTTTGGATTGCTAATTTGAGTCTCAATCCAATGGTCCAATCTAGGTCAATGGTATCTATTCAGGGTATAAATCAGGGAGTGGAGAAAGCTATGCTCTGCACTGAATTATCTAAAAATACCTCAAGGATAGTAGCCAACGATTATTGAGTACTTACAAGGAACTAGACATCATCTTAAACTTTTTAATATATTGACTCATTTAAGCCTCATATCAGCCCTATAAGATAGGGTTTACAATTATGCCTGTAATAGGTTAGAAAACTGAGGCTCAGGCCGGGCGCGGTGGCTCACGCCTGTAATCCCAGCACTTTGGGAGGCCGAGGCGGGTGGATCACGAGGTCAAGAGATCGAGACCATCCTGGTCAACATGGTGAAACCCCGCCTCTACTAAAAATACAAAAATCAGCTGGGCATGGTGGCGCGTGCCTGTAATCTCAGCTACTCAGGAGGTTGAGGCAGGAGAATTGCCTGAACCCAGGAGGCAGAGGTTGCGGTGAGCCGAGATCGTGCCATTGCACTCCAGCCTGGGTAACAAGAGCGAAACTCCGTCTCAAAAAAAAAAAAAAAAGAAAAGAAAACTGAGGCTCAGAAATGAATAATTTGCTCAAAGTTAATAATTTGCTCAAAGCTAGCGAGTGGCATCATTGGGATCTAAAGACAAGCAGTCTGGCTCCAGAGTTTTCTTTCCCCTACTCTGTTATATTTGCCTCTATATTCTCAAGTACCCACTTTAAACACTATATTCCATGTTAGATCTTCAATATGTGTGTCATCGAAGAACCACAGGCGGGGACATATCCAAACTTTCAAGTACGAATATTTAATACCTGGAAATCGAGAAATAATCCACTAAGCCAAGATTCTAGCCCCTTAGTTTAAGAAAATGACTTGTAAAATGGAATCAACACTTTAAACAACAGTGATTCAGATGTTAAAATAATCCATGCCCCTCAATCAATTACATAGCCAAACTGGAATAAATTTATTTTTAAAACCCTTCTCTTTCATAGACATTTTTTTTTAAATTTAGGGGGTGATTCTGTGAGGAAGGAAGAAGGGAAACAGGTTAAGGGGCAGAAGAGACATTTACAATGCCAGGATTAAGACAAAAGAACACTGCAGCTGCCTAAAACCCAACTTTCTCCCTCCAGAAAACACTGCTCTGAACTTTTTTTTTTTTAAACCCAAATGCAAGTATCCCCCAGGAACGGTCACATGAGTTAGATTTGTTGAGTTTGCCTCTGGAAGAAGTACTGGAATTGAGTGAAATTAAACCCAAGTATCTATGGTCAGATTATTCTTTGACAACCAATAAACTCTCATTGACAGTTCACAACAACCCATATTTTCCACAGTGTAAGAATTATTAGGCCAGGCGCAGCGGCTCACACCTGTAATCCCAGCACTTCGGGAGGCTGAGGCTACTTGAGGTCAATAGTTCGAGACCAGCCTGGCCAACACGGTGAAACCCCATCTCTACAAAAAATGCAAAAATCAGTTGGGCGCGGTGGCGGGCGCCGGTAGTCCCAACTACTTGAGCCCAAGCGGTGGAGGTTGCAGTGAGCCGAGATCAGGCCACCGCATTCCAGCCTGCGGACAGAGCTAGACTCCATCTCAAAAAATAAAATAAAATCACAATTATCAATGCTATGAAGTCAGACCTTGGGGATTGGGAATATTTCAACATCCTTAAGTCTCTTGCAGGACTGGGGAACAGGGGTGTCCCGTGGTAGAGAATGAAGGTTAGAGTATCTGGAGAGAAGTGGGGGTAAATAAAAAAACAGTCTGGGTGGTAAACAGCAGGAAATCCTATGAGCCAGGAGAGGTGTAGAATATGGTCAAGTAAGGCACTGTTCATGTGTTTTGAGATTAATATACTCTCATTTTGAGAGGAGTTAAAGAAAACATTTTCTACCATTATGATCATGGACATCTGTCTATGATTATATCGGGCTTAGCGCCAGTTGGAAAATGTCGATGGAAAGAAATATAATAAAGATTAATTGTGTGTTCATTTGACTTTCATCGTCACGAGTGAAGGGGCCCAAAAGCTTTACTCCTTGTGCTTTCCTATGAAGAACGCCCAATGTGAAAAGGCTGGGCTTCTGAGATTTGCCCTAAGTTTTTAGCATAGTACCTAGATCATAGTAAGAATTTTGGAAACTATAGGTATTATAATATTTAAATATATAAATAGCATAAATATTGTTGTACATCAGTGGTTATTCCCAGATCAGAGAAATGTCTGAATGAAATTTACTCAGCAGAATTTGAAATTTGTTTCTATTTTTCACAGTGAGGCCATTATTTTTTCAAGAAAAATAAATGTGAGAGACTTAATTTTTATGTGCTATTTATAATATAGACAAAATAAATTTTGAATGCAAGAAAATTAATTTATGCAAAATGTTGTGTGTTTATGTCTATTTTCCCTACTAAGACATTTATACCTTTCATCAGTTTCTCAGAGATATGTGTGACTTCTCTCTCCCTTAAAAAAATAAATGTGGCCGGGCACAGTGGCTCACGCCTGTAATCCCAGCACTTTGGGAGGCCGAGGCGGGTGGATCATGAGGTAAGGAGTTCGAGACCAGCCTGACCAACATGGTGAAACCTTGTCTCTATTAAAAATACAAAAATTCGTTGTATTTTTGTATTACAAAATACAACTAATGGTGGCACACTTGGTGGCACACGCCTGTAATCCCAGCTACTCAGGAGGCTGAGGCAGGAGAATTGCCTGAACCTGGGAGGCGGAGGTAGCAGTGAGCCAAGATCACGCCATTGCACTCCAGCCTGGGCGACAGAGTGAGACTTCATCTCAAAAATCAATACATAAATGACATAAATGTAAAAACTATTTATGTCTACACCTGAGTAAAGGGACCAAAGCAAGAAGATTCAACAATTACATAGGATGGGACGGGACAGGATAAAAAGAAACAGAGTGAAATGGAGTGAAATGAAACGATTCACCAACTCAAACGCACTGTCAATAAAATGGACAAGGCAAAATAGGAACAGCAAACAGTGCCATTCTTTCCATCTTTTTCTTTAAATGATAGTGATAATCCTCTCCTTTTCCATTGGGCTTACCCCAAAGCTAAGAGATATCCCTTACATAAACACCTAATTGAAAAATGCTACTCAGAAAAAGAGAAAAGTTTGTCTTTTTGAGGAGCTTCTATGCCCCGACTGTTAGACATGGGATCTCTATTACTTACTTTCTTCTGGATCTTAGCTCTCAGAGAGTTCAGGAATATATTTTCTATTTATTTTAAGTAACTCCCCCTAAGCCTTGAACTTTCATGTGTGTGTCCCCACCCTGCACTGTTTCTTATGTTGCTTTTGTACTTTGCTCCTTGTTTTTAATGGTTTCGTTATACATGTGTCCTTTATAAGTCACCGTAAATTTCCTTTTAAAAGTAGATGTCACTTACGTAAAGGAAAAAAGGAAGGGAGGGAGGGAGGGAAGACAGGCAGGAAGACAGGAAGGAAAAACTTTGTGAAGTATACCCTTTAGATGAGGTCTTACAAATCTGGCAGCCTTAATGGGGTAAAATCCATAGTTCATAATTTTTTTAACTTGAATTAAACTATTTTACAACCTTAAACAAACAAAAACACATTTGCTCCAAGTTTAAATTTTACCGTTTTTGTTCTGGTAAATTTTCTCACTCTAGTTCTCTAAATACTATTGAAACCGTATTCTGTAAATACTGGTTAGGGCAGTGGGGAAGAGGGAGGACAGATCCATCCTCAGCTGCCCTCCATCAGCTGCAAATATGTCAGACCCCTCCGGTGGTCTTCGACAGTGAAGCTTCACAGCCATGCTCCACGTTCCTGCTAGCTCTGCAGTTTTCTGTCCTCCCCAATTACCTGCCCAGAGGGCATACTACCTCTCCTGCTGCCTTTCCTGATTGGCATTATGTTTACTGTTTCATTAGAAGCTTTCTCTGATTTTTACGAAAAAGAGTATGTAGTACACCCAACTTCAAACTCCTTTATGGAGACGCTCTACAGCCCAAGGCATCCAGCCTTAGGATCACTGAAATGTTCCGTTCTGAATTCCAGCGGGCTTTTCTTTAACGTTGTTCTACACACTACCTCCCCTCCCACACCCTCCCTTCCCAGGCCAGCTGTGGCACACAAATATTCAAATATTTGTGGAATAATCAGGAAGGTCATTTTAAAAATGGTTTTTAAACTGTTGATTAGTTTCCTACAATTGGCAAGTGGGAAATTTGTGTGCAAACCCTGAGATCATTTCACTTAAACCTTAGTGATGACCTTCTTAAACTTGTCTCTTAAAATGAAATTCCATTCTGTGCATGTTTGATTGTGTGTGTGCTATGCACGTGTGTATGTGTTTGATGCATGTATGTGTCCCCCTTCATAACGATTTACCCTTTTCCCGAATTTAGCCAAACAGACCTAAATGTGTGTTACCAATTGTTTTTAATTATTACTCTGCTACCAATTCAGTCTGTAGTTAAAAGAGAAAGAGGCCAATTCAATTATGTCACTCTTCCCCTGCCCATTCACACTCACAGATATTCATTTCTATTCAACCATCTGCTAGGCTCAACTGACTTGGTCTTTTATAACCCATAAATAGCACCTTGGTGGGATGCCTCAGGCTGGACAAGGTACCTCTCAGTACTGGTGCATCAGGTGGCCGGGACAGAGACCCCATGCCTTCTCTTGCTCTGAGTTAAACATAGCAGGACAGCATTACCTCTGCGGATCCTGACCACAATCCTCCAGATGCCCAGTCCCAAAACGATGCCAGTCAGTAGCCCACACACGACAGCCACCATCACCCTGAGGTTCCAGGCACGGCAGGAAACCATGGCAAGGCCAACCACACATCCACTGCTGGGTGAGAAACAACTAGCTTCTTTTCTTCTTGAGCTAATAAGTTGAATCAGAAAGTATTCTAAACAGAAAAAGAAGTCCTCCCATTAGCGATCCATCAGACTTTATATGTTAGGACTTTTGAGGGTAATCCAGCAAGATGCAGTTTGAATCTCCTAATAAAAGGTGCATGCTCAGCTTGCAATGTCCTCATCCTTCACTGAAGGAGAATGTGAAAAAAGCAATTAGAGTTATCAGAATAGGGAGATAACTCGGGGCAATAAAGAAGAAGGGGAGGGACTAGCTACAAGGGTCAAAGAGCGACTGTCCAGACAAGCCACAGAATGAAGGAATTGAACGAAACAGAAGAAACCAAAGAGGAAATCACGAAGGCAGTGGATGCCAGCGGTCATCTATGGCTCGGCTTCCTGTGTTTTTGTCTCAGGAGAGTACAGCAGACATAGACCGGCAGGTGCTTTGGGCCACACAAAAGCACCCTCTGGGAAATGAACTAGGCTGTCAACAAGAGGATAAATGGCAATCACCACCCATGATTCTAGCGCTTGCATTTCTTTAAGGAGGCTACATTTTGACAGCTGCAGTTGGTGAGTAGGCATACTGGCACAGGGTGGGTCTTGAAAAGCACTAAAGCCCAGCAGGATAACCCATCTGCTATGGGCTGAATTGCGTCCCTTCCAAAATTCATATGTTGGAGTCCTAACCTTCAGCACCTCAGAATGTGGCCTTATAAGGACATAAGGTTATTACAGAGGTGACCAAGTTAAAATGAGGTCATTAGGGTGGTCACTAATCAATATGGCTGGTGTCCTTATAAGAAGAGGAAATCTGAACACAGATATGCATAGAGAACCATGATCTGAAGAGACAGAGAGAGAAGACGGCCATCTACAAGCCAAAGAGAGTCCTCAGAAGGAACTCGCCCAGCTGACACCTTGACTGTGGACTTCTAGCCACCAAAACTGTAAGACAATATATTTCTGTTGTTCAAGCCACCCAGTTTGTGGTACTTTCTTAGAGCAGCTCTGGGAAACTAACACATCATCAGACTGGTGTCTCTACAGACACAGCTCTGACCCTCTCCAGCCCAGGCTCCCACATTCTCCTTCCCCATCCTCCACCCTTACCTGAAAGGACAAATAAATGAGCATTCACCTCCTCAATCACAGTTTGGTTCTGGTGGAGAGAACCGATGCTCTGGTCCTCTCTAGATGCTCCCTCGGTTCATGAAATCCATATTAAATGCTTTTAATGTGCCCAAACTGGTACAAGACATGAACAGGGTCCTCAAAGAACTCATTTTCTCAGGGGCGAGATACCTAGATATAGCTACCTATAAGACAAGTCATAACTGTTAAAATGAAAGATCATCAAATTTAGTTATTACAGAGTGCAGATGCTCCTTGACTTACAATGAGATTACATCCCAATAAATCCACCTTAAGTTAAAAAATATCTTAAGTCAAAATGCAATCAATACACCTAGCATGCTGAACATCCTAGCTTAGGCTAGCCTACCTTAAATGTGCCTAAAACAATTACAATAGCATAAAATTGGACAGAGTCATCTAATTACAAAATCTATTTTATAATAAAGTGTTGAATATCCCATGGGATACATTGAATACTACAGTGAAAGTGAAAATCAGAATGGGTATATGGGTACCCCAAATATGGTTTCTGCTGAATGCATATTGCTTTTGCACCATGGTGAACAAACCATCATAAGTTGGAAATCTATGTATTAGCCCTTTAATACCTGCATACCGGCCCATTAATTCCTTCAGGAAGTATTAAGCAAGGCTTTACCAACAAAAGGTTTTACACTTAAACTCATCATTAGCTAACCCCCAAACAGCTATGTATTTTTTCCAATTCTCTGTGACATTCACTTTATAAATGTTTCGCTATAAACATAAGGCCCTAACTTTATGCCTCCCAAGAATTTCAGAAAATGGAAGAACTTAGAAGTACCGCTGCAGAAAGATAAAATAAGTGAACGCAAACCCGTCACCTCATTTCCCGGGGATGGATTTTTAAAAACCTGTTTCTGATATGTCTGCATATACATGCACAGAAAACGTCTGGAAAGGTACAGGAAAAAAATTCCTCTTGGGAATCTGAGGAATCTGAGGTAGGAGAGAGTTTTTAAATTTTATATCCCTTTTATGCTTTGAAGTTTTAACCTTGTGTATTTTTTCTATTATTATAAATAAATATGTATAACTTTTCCAATAACAATGGTTTTCAATAAATAATAAATCTAAGGAAAGGAATTAACACCTATCATATGCCCAGGGTATACCAAGGATGATGCCGTATACTTTACATTTGTTTATATCATTCACTCTGTGTAAAAACCGCAGGTAACATAGTGTGTTTGCCCTTTTCATGAATGAGGAAATGAGACTGAGCCTGACATTATTCTACGCAGGAGTTCTACGGTTAAGTAATTTTGGATGGCACCAGGTTACACAAAGTTACACAATTTTCTCCGCTCTAGTATTTCTTAGAGGCTTCAAGATGCTCGTGTCCATTGTGAATTGCTAGAGAAGACACGTATGTAAATATGTTCTCAATATTATTTGACCGCAGAATCCTCTTCTCAGGAAGGATCTCTCAGAGCCAGGGTTCTTCAGAATATGCTTTAGAAGCACTGCCCTGTGAGATCATCTGCAGAATGGTCTTAGTTGAACAGCGTGACTGAAGGAACGGACCATGGGTCTCACATTTGCTGTCTGGTGATGGTGTTTTTCTCCTGTAGCATTCTGAATCTTTTGAAGGGATATGGACTAGTGACTAGAAAACTAACTTTGCTGGTGATCACACATCCTCTATTCCACAGTTGGTGGAAGTCCTGGAGTCCCGGGATGCTGTCATGACTGCTGCTTCTTAGGGCTTCCATGTCCTTAACCACATGACAAGGTTTATAAGGCTTGCCATCTATCCAGCTAGAAATTCCAGAAATTCATGAAATTGAAGAAATTCCTAGGCAGGGAAATTAAGATGTTGACATTTATGTAAAGGCATGAATTACTACTGATAATAGACAAATGTGTAGAGTTACCAATATTTACACACACACACAACACACACACATCAGGATGACAAAGAAGAAAAGGAAGAGAGTTAAACAGGAAATAATTCATTTATTCTTTCATTCTACTCAGGGCGGCATTGTACTAGGCACTGGGGATAAAACAGTGAACAAGAGACAAGATCCCTGTCTTCACCCGGCTTATACTCAGGGAGACCTGGAATTGTACAGAGGCTGCCATTAATTTGCTCTGTGACTCTGGGCAAACCATGGGGCTTCCATTTCTTCATAAGCAATCCAGTTGAGGCTTTCCCTTCCTGAACATTTCAGTTCTAAAGTCATTAGCTAAGGAAGAGCAAGGCAGGCATCTGTGGTGTGGATAGACAGGGGCAGTGGCCCACAGTAGGTGTCAGAGCCCCAGTGCAGTAAAGAAGGCATTGATAAGAGGGGTACCTAGCATGAGCTGTCAGAACCCAGGCAGGATAAAGAGGGTATCAATAGGATGGGGGGTGGCCTGGCATGGAGAGTCAGAGCCCAACCAAGCAGGATGCTCTCCTTAGAGCATCCCCGATGAGAGATACCCAGTGTGGAAAATCAAAGCCAGAGCAGGCAAGGTGGGTGGTCCTTGGGGAGCAAGGGCGGTCAGAAGGGCATCTAGACAGGCAGGCAACACAGCGTAGGAAGTCCGAGCCTGAGCTGGGTGGGGAGGGTGTCCAAACAGATTGGCTGCCTAGAACAGGGAGTCAGAGTGCAAACACAGAGCAAAGGGGGTCCCCACAAGGATGTGCAGTGCTGGTGGAGCTCAGAGATTGGCTGCATATAGGATGACGGATCAAACAGGTAAGCGCAGGAAGAGGCCGGGAGCCAAGTTTCTCGCTTCAGAGCTCTGGCTCTGACTTCCCGTGCTGAGTTGCCCACCTGTGTAGATGAGAAGGGGAAGGGCGTTACAAATACGGAAAGGGAGAAAATATGAGTTCCATGGAAATTTCAAAACAGGTCATCAGAAATAAGGAGAAAGAAAAGCTACATGCTCTTAATTCTGAAGGAAGCAATAACTCCAGAAAAGAGGGCTGTCGGACAAATGCATGAATGAAGTCAGGAACTTCTCATGCAAAGGAGGAAAACGGTCAACAAAGCCAAGTATTTCAAAGGAAGGGATGTGATATTACTTGTTGTTTGCAATAATTGAACTAAATAATTTGTATTGTGCTTTCAGCATAAAAACCTACAATGTTGCATTGGAACAGAATGTATCACATGAATCACTATATATATATATATATATATATATATATATATATATATATATATAAAAGCACACACATATATATCACTATATATTGTGTGTGTATATATATACCCACACACATACACAAGAGAGAGAGAAAAGGAACATTTTACTTTTTTAATATATCTAATAACATATATTTATATATAAATGACATAGAAATACAGTCACAAACATGTGTTTATATACACACATGAATATTTGTACATGTTTTTGATATATATCACATATTTGCATACATGCATTTGCTAGCTCTGGCCACTTATAGGGCTGGAAGTAGTGACACCTCATTAACAATGAGCACACCCCAAACCCAGATCTTGATTTATAAATACAGTTTTCCACGAGACAAACAATGGCTTTTTGGAAAATGGCTAATTCCAAGACTGCAGCAGAGAAAATCTTATGTGAGCCAGGAATCTTGTGCAGAAAGCAAGATACAATGGGTGCATATCAAATGAACACAGAATCCAGCTTGAAAAGATTCCCATTTTTAAATGGTGGATAATTTGAACATCAAAATAAATAATGCTTATAAATAAACATTATTATAAATAATAGATG